CAGTGGACTTGGAAAGCCCTGCGAGTGCATAGGCTTCTGCTTAAGATTGAGACCCATGCCGTGAGGAACGAGGAGCCAAAGTTGCGCAAGGCTTCCTGTTTGCTGTGCGCGGGATGCTTGCACAGCTTAAAAACCAAATCAATTGTGTCATCGTTTAGTTCCTCACAACCGCCCCCTTGATGACACTTGTTTCTCGTTTTGGAGGTGCCCAAGAACGAGGTCTCACAAAGTGATTCGGCCACTTTGCTGAGATTTTACCCACCAGTAGCTAGAAGCTACTAGGTGGTGGCCATCGCTATTAGGTTGAAGGCCGTCGCTACTAGTAACAAGAAGCCACTAGCTCTCCAACCGAGGCTACTCCGCCCTCTGAGGCAGGACTGCTCTGCTTCAGATTGTGCTTCAAGATAGTGGTAAGACACCAACGCTCGGTGGAAGTTGATGGCAAGTGGCAAGTGGGCAATTGCACAAGTGTGTAACGTCGAGAAAAGGCATTGCTAGTTTGCCTCACAGATAGATTCGAGAAAAAGCATTGACAGATACGCGCTACTAGAGAAAGATTCAAACGATTCTATTTCTAAGTGGAGGCTGCAATGATACCGGTTGACGTTTGTAGACATCAAGCTGTGCTGTTGATGAGGTAGATTGAGGGTAGGAAAGGGTTAGATTGGATTTGCCAAAGTCTTGTCATGTGTTCACTGGTTGGCACCGACTAAAAGGGATGCCTTCAACGTAGCTCTCAACATCAGTGGCTGGGTTTGGAGTCAGCTCACCTTGGGGTCGATCGAGCCGTTTGGGGAATCAGGTGGCTTCGACCGCTGTTCCTCGTGCATCATCCACGATTTGTAGCGAAGGTGCAGTGTGACCTCGTGGCAGATTCTGCTGAAGAAACTGAGGGATCAGCATGGAGAGACCGCCAGGTTCATTTTCTGATCGCCATCCACCTGGCGTGGCCAGTGCCTAAAAAGAGACACCTGGTGTTGAGAAGTTTGGCCTGGAGGAGAACCTAGCACAGAGTGCGTTGGAAGTCAGCGTAATAGAGTAAGAACCACACATAGTCGAAGTGAACCAGATGCAGAAGTGCCGCAAAGTCGTGCTTCGACCCTTTCAACTGAGGGGCCACCAGATGGTCGAAGTGAGGCCACGGCAGAACTCTCCAATGAACCGTCACAAACTTTGATGAGAGTTTTGACTGAAAGCCGACTGCAGGCCCAGAGGGGCATGCATCTGAGTTGATCCAGAGCTCGAAGACATTCCAAGGATCAGGTTTGTTTCAATCTAGAGGTTTTACATGTCTTTACCATGTCTGAGGTCCAAGCCATGGAGAGTCCGTGTTCCAAGAGCAGTTTTTGCCTTCCAGTTCAAGTTTCATGCAGAGGCTCTAAGATGCCCTGAGTTCTGTGCGATGGCTAAGGCCGTTACGATGGCCCGATTCCCCAGCAACCGCCTCGGGAATCTCTGCCTGACGCTGAGGGAGTGGACAGTTCTTCTCGACAGGCTTGATAGACACTGGGGACCCGGGACAAGAGATCATATTATGGTTATAAATGGTTATAGTCTGTGGTTGGTTATTGTCTATAACTATTTATTACGATGTAATGACTATTCAGTCATGAGTCATGGGGATGTTTATGGATCGTCCGGTTGGTCGCGTTTTGGAAGTGAGCTGCTCAGGCGCGTCGCAGAGAACTCTCAGCCGAGGCCAAGATCGGGGAAAGTAGCGACCCTTGCGCATCCCCACACTCCTCACATCTCCTCACCGGCATTCACAAGGGACCCTTAATGGCCTGTTGGCAGAGTTCCAGCTTGGGACTTGGAAGGAAGAATAGGATCGTGATGGACTTTGAATGGCTTTGGTATGCAGATTCCGTGTGCCCTTTGCCAGGCACCGGTGCGTTGCCAATCTGCTCGCCCGGTGTGAGCCCGAGGAGTGCTGCAGAATGTAGAAGTCTATGGCTTCAGCAAGTTGTCAGAAGCTGCATGTAAGACATGCCACCTTCCCGGGACCAAGCCCTATCAGAACCGTCAGACAATTATTTGACCTCGATGCTTGCACACCTTGTTTGCTCTAAACTTTGGGGCTTCCAAAAGCAAATGCCGACCGCTGGGTAGAATGACTCTTGGCCTGGAGAAAGGATGAAGCAGGTTTCCGAGAAATGACCGATCACTGTGGTTTCGTCAACCTTATGTGCTCAGCCAACTCAATGACAACGGTGGAGAAGCTTCCAACAACTAGGTTGGAACAGGGCGAGTCCCGAGCCACCCAAGCCATCCGAGCTATCCAAGCTGGGAGCCTCGGACTTCGGACATGTAATGAGGGAAAGATAGAAATTGATACTGTAGATATATCATTTGTGACCAGATTTTTCTGCATTTGTGAGTAAATCATAGTAAATCTACAGTGTGTGTGTGTGTGAATAATACAAATACAGTAGGTGCAGCTAGAATCCTAACTAGGTGTTATCCTGCTGATCCTCTGATTCAGACATGACGCCTGCAGAGTGACACCTGAACGGTGAATTGCCTGGCAACAAGAAGCTACTGCGATGCACTCGTTACTACTAGTAAGGCACTTGTTACTAGTAGCGATGCACTTGTTCCTAGTAGCTTCAAAGCTCTTTCAGTCCCTGTTCAGGCCGCCCTGCCGAAGACAAGGCACAGATTCAGCACAAGCCTTTTCGTGTTTGGAAGACATCTCGGACGCGCCTAGGAGTCTGTTGAAACAGCGCATGCCTATGCATGCCTCTTTTTTTCATTTGCAGGTGCTTCCCCCGCAGCAAGAAGCATTTCTTTTTTGGACACTCCGTTCGTGCGTGGTCAGCATCTTTGCGCAGGCTCCGTCAATCAAGAAAGACCGTGAGGGCACTTGCCTGAGGAAATTCCCGGCACCATGTCACATCAGCCCCGAGAACGTCTGTGTCTGGCACCATGGATTTCGGGTTTCAGAGCCTGATCTCTCCGCCAAGGCTTGCTGAAGTCCTTGGCGGCACACTTCCAGAATGGGCAGCCCGGGCAGCTTGTGCCTCAACACGTGGAAGAGAAAAGACATGTGTGCCAGCTCTTGAGATTTCGATAAGATAGAATAGGGCGTTTTGTCTTAAAACAAACGCTGCTTTAGACATCTTGTGAACGAGTGTTGCGATGCCACTTTGCTTTGAGCAACACTCGCAAAAGGTCCAATGTGAACAGTTTGGACTTCTACGCAGTTGGCAGACTTCTTGGTAAAGGAGCCTTTGGCAAAGTCTGAAGCTCAGCGACATGCACAGACAGCTTGGAGCAAGTCGGTCATGTCGGACTCCAGATCACATCAATGCAGAAGCCGCTTGCAACTCTGAATTGTCTTGTAGACGCATCAATTGCACGTTGAGAGGTCAACGTGGCAGTGCATAAATTGACAGAGGACGAGCTGTAGTGCGTTAAATTGGAGAATCTTTGAAGGTTGCGCATGTCGCGGCCCGGCAGCTCAGTTTAAGAATAATGATGATACACACAGTACACGTAAATCGGCCATGCACGGGGTCAACAGAGAAAATCAAGTATTATATATATTATACATTGTATATTTATATAAGTGTGCGTGTCCTCAGTTTGTTGTGGGCAATGAAAGTTGAATCTGATGGGCTCATAGTTGCCACCTCCAGGAGCTTTCAGCTATGAAACAATGTGATCGACGCCGCATGAATGAGGCCAAGCAACTTGTTTTAGACCGGATGCGTGCCAACTTATGTAAATGGCGCTAGCGTTTCACCACCTTCGGCTGCTGCTTCATTTCAGAACATATGTATTTTTTCAATTTTTCCCCTCTCACCATTGCTATTCTTGGTTAGTCTTACTTTATTATTCATCATCTCGTGTGTGAGACACCTTTTGTGATCTACTTGCCCTGAGTGTTTCGTTTGCATGCTGAGTGCAAACACCTGGAAGGTTGGAAGCAAGAAGTGCTTCTTGCAGGAAGTGGAGCCGGCAGCATTTTCATCCATTTTCCAGCAATGCGACCCCTTCAGTGTTTTGCCAACGGTCTGATGATGCCCTGTCAACTTCGCACTTCGCATCTCAACGTTCTTTTTTGCCCCATGGCCCTTTTTGGGTCGCTGTTCCCGCTGTTTTGGTGATTCGGATGTCCAGGTGGCCATCATGAAACGGCTCACTGGCCATGCAAACGTCATTCAGCTCTTTGAGGCCGTTCCAACCGCGGGCGCAGTCGGCAGCCGCTCAACCAGTGGGCACTTTCCTTCAGCTTCCTTTGACCAGTCCGGTGCTTTTTGGGTTGTACCCCAACTGCTTCTAGTTTCAGATTTACGCCATATTATTGCAGTCATGTCATGTCAGTGACAGTGACCGTTCTTCTCGTTCTTTTTTGTTCTTGTTGGTCCCGTGCTTTCATCAGATCATGCTATTATACTGAATTATACTTTTTGCACGCACAGAGGCATCACGCCGCGTAGCTAAGTGGCCTTGGGTGGGCAGGTTCCAGATATATAGTTTCAGGATGTTTCAGGTGAATTCCAAGGTTTCGTCATCAAGGTTCTTTAGGTTGTGGAAAGAGGAGTGCGAGGGAGAGTCGCAGCAGCTGTTGCGGCTTCCACGTGGGATGGCTGCTTACTGCTTACAAATAAGATAAAATATCTCTAATGATGACTCTAATGGGCAAGTTTGACTCTGGACACGGAATTCTTGGGATGTGATGATGTGACTCTACAAAGCGTGGTTGGGCGATCCCTCGCCTGAAACGGCTGCCAGGTGGTTGAAACACCATCGCAGATTGTTTTAGTCATGGAGGCACATCTGCAGGAGCACACTTCTGTTGGTGAATTTCAGGTAGTGGAAGATTTGACAAAGACATGAACACCTGCAAACAAGGGTTTGATCGTGTTTGTGCCTTTTTCCCTTCCTGATGTTGGACAGAAGGGCTTCTCTGAGGATCTCCCAGGAAAATGGTGGACCTTGAAACTTGAAAACAATTCTGATTCTGCTGTGCATATAATTCCAGCTTCTTCACGGGCATGAACAAAGCTTTCATTGGCATTGGCTTGGATTCTCGCCACGTGCCAATTAATGGAGCTTGAACATGTTCGACCAGTTTTGATCTCGCCAGTTTGCTTCTGGTGGCGACCTATTGAAATACGTTCGAACTCGCCGCCGCCTGGCAGAGCCTTGTGCGAAGGACTGCTAGGAACAGGCACATGACCATCTGAGAATCTAAGGCTCTAAGAAATCGCTGGTAAGAGCTCTTTGCCGCTAGATGAAAAACAGGGCCCTGTTCAAAGGGGGCCAAACACATTCTTTTTGTTTCATCTCTTGATCTTCTTTTTTGTTCAACGGCTTTGCATTGCGCAATGGAAAGCAGCTGCGCGCCTGCAGGACCTTTTTAAGCAGCTGCTGGAGGGCTTGGATCACATCCACAAGAAGCTGGTGGTTCACCGGGACCGTGGGACGAATTGGAAGCGCACCAGATAGTGCAAGCATGAGGAACAAGATGGTAAAGCATGCCTGGAGGTCTGTCTTGACGGAGCATCTCCACAAGAGCCTGATTTTTCATGTTGTTCTGATTTGTTCCTTGAGGACATCAAGCTGGAGAATCTTCTGCTCGACCCCTTCGGCTGTGTAAAGATCGCGGACTTCGGGGTTGCGGCGGCGTAGCTCTCAGCCATGAGTACCATCATCAGGGAGACACACATGTTCAATAATGTAGCCATTGCTGGCATGACCAGCTTCTCTTCAACCGCGGAGTGCTTTTTTGCCTGAACGTGCCACCGCTCAAGGTGGTACAGCCAGAGAAAAAGCTACATGATCACTGTGGCACTCCATCGTGCCATGCACTGATCATTTCGGCGCCTTTTTGATCCCTTTTGCATGTGTTTGCCTGTATGTAAAGGAATTGAATAGTGAATAGTCGGCATGGGACTATTTAATGAGATGACAACATTTAGTGAAATTGACTCACCACTAGAGGCGCAAATGCACGCCACAGCCCAGGTACATAGCGCCGGAAATTTTGCAAGATGCTGGCTATGACGGATTTCCAGTCGATGCACCTTGGACTTCCCAATCTGTGTCTTATGTCTTCCCGAATATTGCTTGACTTGAAGCTGTTTTGGCACAGGTGTGGAGTTCAGGCATTGCTTTGTATGCCATGCTGTGTGGACGGCTTCCTTTCAAGGCCACTGCCGTGCTATGTGGACATAGTCCTAAGTAAGCTCCTTCAGTTTCATGAACAATAACATCGGGGACAGTGCAGCAGTCATTTTCTTTCTATCTTGCCACACTCGCTTCGAATCCTTTCTTAAACTGTCAGGGCAAGAGCATGTCTGAGCTCAAGCGCTGCATACTCCGGGGAAGGCGCGGTCAGATTACTGGCTGACTTGCCCAAGTCGGACATTTCTGGTGATTAGTCTTTAGGGTCTTCATGGCTCTTCTTTTGAACCTACAATGATGCCTGTAAAATATTACTTCCAGGTACCAATGTCCGGAACACTTGTCAGCGGCAGCGCAGCAAGTCATTGCTAGCATGCTGATCCTGGAGCCCAGGAGATCACCGTGTGATTACAACCACATTGAACTGGGAACAAGAAGCTACTAGTAGCTCCTGGCACTACTATTAGGAGCAAGGACGCTACTAGTGCATACTAGTGCCCCCAGTCGATCTGGGGAGACGTCGAAACACTCAATCTAGGGACCTGTGACCCAGGAGTCGTGCTACAGTCAAGATACTGCTGTCCCACAACTTCTTGCAGGAGGGGCACTCTGATTGCTTTTGCATTTTTTGTCCTTTTCAATGGATATTGGATATCAGATGATATCAGCGGTGAGTTACGTGAGAGAGTTGGAGTCAGTTCATGTCGCCAACAGATCGGTCCATGTCAGTCCATGCGACCATATCGACTGCTGCAGTACATGGCCCCCATGGAAGGGAATCAGGCCTTGTTGGTATCGCCAGGGTGTCCAGTCCCGAGCCAAAGAGATCTATGGTCGTCTGCTTTGCCCAAAGCCCTTGGAGGACGGATGTCCGTTGGAGTCGCTGGAAGATTTATTTCAATCCTGCGAAACGCCGGATCTGCGGTTCAGTCGCCCTACCCACTCACTGCCTTACCTGATCAGATGGCCGCCATCAGAAACTCTTTTACTTGTAGATGTTTTTAGAACACACTCTGGTGGGAACACTTTGAACACCAAGCAAAACAGTCTGAAATTGTTTAGCACTGGTTTGATTGTTTCAACGATGGTTTATAACATTGTTATATGGTTTAAAACATTGTTTATAACATTGTTATATTGCTTTACACATTGTTTATACTGTACCATTGTTATATTGTTAAACATATTATCTATAACATTGTTATATTGTTTAGAACATTGTTTATAACATTGTTATAGTGTTCAAACCATTGTTTATACACTTGTTAAATTGTTCAATATATTGTTTAAAGCATTGTTTATGCTTGTTCTGAACATTGTTTATAATGTATTTAACCTTGTAATCTTGTTAGTTGAAACATGTTGCTATAAACTTGTTGTTTGTTCAAACAGTTTGTTCCATAGTCATAAACTTGTGAACTTTGCCTCTGAAAACCACTTTTCACTTCCACGATTTGGACACTTGTTCTGTTCGAAAGCACTGTTGAGATTGAAGAATCTCAAGATTGTCTTTGCAGCCGTTTTGTTGGAATCTTATGTTGAACAGCAGCCGCGAAGGGACATGGTGAATTTCTATGGGCCCCATTTCCCTTTCCAATTGCAAATTAGGATGGCTTCCTACCGCAACCTGAACGTCCAGCAGCCCATCTCACTTTATAGTTTTTCTTCGAGTTTCTCGGACTCATCCTGCTACTGATGCTGGCTATCAACCAGGACAAGGTCCGACAAGGTAACTAACTTGAAGCAACTGGGTCGAGGGCCAATTTTGCTATATATTCCTTCTCGAACACTTGTGATGTGGCGGCCATTGCCCCGCTGCTGGGCCTTGTGGCAGCTTGTCAGCCATTGGGGGATCGGGCAGCCAGGCTTAGTGAGGACTTGCAGCCCCACCATCTTGCACCTTTATTCATTGCGTGGCGGCCTGCTGGCTGCCACTCATAGAACGGATCCTGATAGACCTAGCTTTAGATGTGAAGCTAGGCTGGGTGTTTTTCTCAGTCATGAAAAAGGCTTGGGCCCAAAGATGTACATATGGGTAAGGGAGACCACCAACCAATAGGTCTTTGCCTTTGTCGTTTCTTGCGCAGCTGTCTCTGTGCAGTGGTTACCCTCAGCGAGAGTAAGGCAAACACCAACGGAGCCACGGTAACTATACAAATGCATGCGCGTGCATCGAAATCTAACGAAAATGAATCAAGGCCTCCAGGAAGCCTTCAGGGTTTTGCTCTATTTCCTTCTTGTAGATGGTTTTTGGGAGGCCTCCTTATTGAAACACGGATCCACCCACTGGAGAAGCAAGATGACAGGGTAATTGAAACCAAGCAGTCTCCTAGGCCTCGTTTGGGCCCAACTACTGGGGGAATGACCCCGTTGGTTGAAGTTAACCACGGGAACGCAGGATAGAAATCAGAACTACACCAAGAGAGAAGAAAAGCAAACAACCGACTAGCCGCCGCTGGGCGCCCGGTGTTTGTTGTTTTTTTTAGTCCGGCAGGCTGTGGAAGTGCACTTTTTCATCAATTTTTGAGTTGTACTCAGTTATCAGACTTGTCTGCTTCATCTGCTAGTTTTGGCTTGACACAAGTATTTCCCCAAGTATAGGGTCTCCAAAAAACAACAACTAGACGACGAGTGGCCCGAAAGCATTTTTCATCACGTAGGAAGTCAGAGTGCGAGTTATCCGGTAAGTGTGTAGTGAGAAGTGTGAAGTCGAGTGAGTTGAGGTAGTGTGTGGGTTTCTGTGCGTGTGTCTATGTCCGTGTGGAAATGAGTCTGCGTATGTGTGTGTGTTCGTGTAAGTTGAGGGAGTGTGTGGGTGTCTGTGTGTGATGCGGCCTCCCAAACCCCCCACCGGCGGCCAAGCGGTGACAGCCCAGCTCATCGTCGTGAGCATTTGGGCTGCTGGTAAGGGGACAATGGCAGCCAGCGTGCTGGCTTACCCACTTCAACTATGATGG